TAGTTAGATAGATAGATATATAGATAGATATAGAGAGATAGATATATATATCTATCTCTCTAGATAGATAGATAGATAGATAGATAGATAATTTATTGATCCCAATTTGGGAAATGTTTGCGTTGCAGCAGCATAAAAAACACAAGGCAATAAGAGAAATTAAGACACAAGAAATAAACAGTCCAAAATATTTCAGAAATAGAAACAAAATAGCATTACAATTTAAAAAAGTTAAGGTTTAGTTTATAAAATATAAAAAATATATACACATGTGGAAAATATACAAGTTTAAATACAAATACTTATAAAGGGTTGCACATGTGAGCATAAGGTGCCCTGTAATGAAAAAAATATATGCAAGTGTCCTGGTATGTCCTTTCAGTTTGATTTACTTTGTGGTTAGGAAATAGTCCACAGTCCTTCATAGTAAACATTGCTCAACATCATGTCGGAAGAATAAAAGCAGGAGAGACATCCGGAAACGGGGTAGTCACGGACAAGAAGCTTACACAGTCAAGCCAGAAGGTAAAAAAAACGTATAGTTTTCAAATTAATTTAATTAATCAAGTTGGGTCATTTATTATTTATGTGTCATTAACTATTTAATCCTTAGATTTGATGTCAGAATTTAAAATAACCTGTTTTAGTTGGTAAATATGTCTAAATGTTCTTGCTCAGATCTCGCAGATAATGGTGATTAATTATTTTCATTGATACTAAAACATTGACTTGTTGAAATCTCAGATGGAGAAACTCATACTTTTGATGGTGATCTTTGGAACATGTTGTGCAGCACCCCAAGGTTTGTAAACTTCGACCGACAGCATTGTGGAGAAGTTTATCTATGGAGAAGCATTTGAATATGATAGCTTTAATACTTTTGTTTCTTAACATTTTAGTTAATGATATGTTGTTTGCTCTCCTTCCCTAAAAATAATTTTGTTTTCCACCTGTGCAGATCTTTCAGGTAAAGTGTTTGTCTTTCCAAAGGAGACCAACACTGATCGTGTAGTACTCATCACACCTAAAACCAGATTCAACTCTGTGACCACCTGTCTCAGGTAACTGGTGTTGTAATCAGAAAGCTTCATTATTTGTGGTTAAGTTTGAAGAACGGTTTGTCAGATTTTCTCAATGCCTACACATCTTTTCAGATATCAATCAGATCTCAGCAGGACATATGGAATCTTCTCTTTGGCTACACCCACTTTCAACAACGACTTTTTGATCTTCAAGGGTAATGCAGAGAGTGACATCAGCATGCGTGCTCGGGATATGCTCGCAGTCTTCACGTCACTGAAACTTGATGCCAACACCTGGCACTCTATGTGTGCTACCTGGGACTCCTCCACTGGGTTGGCTCAGCTGTGGGTGGACGGCAAGGCGACCACCAAGAAATTTGTCCAAACTGGGGCCATCACTGGAGCTCCCATCGCCATCCTCGGCCAAGAGCAGGACACCTATGGCGGAGGCTTCGATGCAAAGCAATCATTCATAGGTATGATTACTGACTTCCACATGTGGGACACTATCATCCCCACCTGTGAGATCAGACGCTATATGGAAGATAAGCACTTCAGCCCAGGCAATGTGTTCAGCTGGAAAGCCCTGGACTTTCAAGTCAAAGGGCAGGTTTTGATGGAACTGGCATCTGAAGTTATGTAACATGATGTATAACTGTGAATAAATCACAAGTAAAACAAATGTTTGATTCTCTCAAGAAGATTAAAGTATCTTCAGATAATTACATGATGGCAGTGCTCTTTTCTCTTTTTTTGCATACACTATTTTCAAAAGCAACTATGAACATGTAGTATGATAATGAAGAAAGGGACCAAGATTTAGAAAATATGTTTAATCCTTTAAAATCAGACATGAAAACATCACCACCATCACCACCACACTACTAAATATCAGTCCATGCAGGTAATGAGGAGCGTCGAGGAACGATACAATTATAAAAAATCTTTTATTACCAAGTATAATGCAATTTTTTAGACTTACAAAGCAGATGTTGGTCTCAGGGACGATGTCTGAGAGTGAAATCACATCTTCATTCCCAGACAGGTTGCCTGAATTATCCATAGCCCCTTCGTCCCCAAAACTGGAACAGAGATAAGATTTAATTACGAAACACCTAAGACAATAAATAAACATTTATCATATCACATTTATCATATCTGTACCTGTGATGGTCCAGGTTTGTGTTTGCTGATTTGTGCACT